GGAGGAGCAGCGGATCTACTCCGAGCTCCTCCCTGATGACCGAGCTTCTCACCCTATCTCTAAGGGAGAGCCCAGCCACTCTTCGGAGAAAACTCATTTTGGCCGCTTGTATCCGTGATCTCGTTCTTTCGGTCACTACCCAAAACTCATGACCATAGGTGAGGGTAGGAACGTAGATCGACCGGTAAATGGAGAGCTTCGCCTTCTGACTCATCTCTCTCTTCACCATGACAGACCGGTACAACGCCTGCATCACTACAGATGCAGCACCAATCCAGCTATTGATCCCACGCTTCAGTTTTCCCTCACTCGTTAACAAGACCCCGAGATATTTAAACTCCTCCACTTGGGGCAGGACCTCATCCATGACCCAGAGAAGGCATTCTACCATTTTCTTAATCAGGACCATTGTCTCAGATTTAGAGGAGCTGATTCTCATCCCAGCTGCTTCACATTCAGCTGCGAACCGCTCCAGCGAAAGCTAAAGATCACGTTCTGATGAAGCCAACGGGACCACATCATCTGCAAAAAGCAGAGACCTGATCCTCAGGCCACCAAAATGGATGCCCTCCACACCTTGGCTGTGCCTAGAAATCCTGTCCATAAAGGTTATGAACAGAGTTGGTGACAAAAGGGCAGCCTTGGCGGAGTCCAACTCTCACTGGGAATGAGTCCGACTTACTGCCGGCAATGCAGACCAAGCTCTGACACCGGTCATACAGGGACCTAACAGCCCGTATCAGAGGGCCTGGTACCCCATACTCCCGGAGTACCCCCCACAGGGCCCCCAGAGGGACGCAGTCAAACGCCTTCTCCAAATCCACAAAACACATGTAGACTGGTTGGACCTCTCCCTGGGCTGCCACCTTACCGTGGTGGAGGGGTTTGAGTGTCTCAATGATCTTAGGAGCTAAGTTGTCTGGGTCACCCATGGCAAACAGGTCCTAGGTGAGGGATCAGACGAAGAGCAGCCCGAAGACCTCTTATGATAAACTATATAATTGGAAACCGTGTTCCCTCGCCCGGACATGGGTCACCGGGGCCCCCCTCTGGAGCCAGGCCTGGAGGTGGGGCACGTTGGCGAGCCCCTGGTAGCCGGGCTTTCACCCATGGAGCCCGGCCGGGCACAGCCCGAAGAGGAAATGTGGGTCCCCCTTCCCATGGGCTCACCACTCGTGGGAGGGGCCATAGGGGTTGGGTGCAGTGTGTGACGGGTGGTAGTCGAGGCCGGAGACCTTGGCGGTCTGATCCTCGGCTACAGAAGCTGGCTCTTGGCACATGGAATGTCACCTTTCTGGTGGGTAAGGAGCCTGAGTTGGTGTGTGAGGTTGAGAGGTTCTGACTATATATAGTTGGACTCACCCCAAAGCATGGCTCTGGCTCTGGAACCAGTTTCCTTGAGAGGGGTTGGACTTTCTACCACTTTGGAGTTGCTCCCACTGAGAGGCGCCAAGCAGGGGTGGGCATACTAGTTGCCCCCATCTTGGTGCCTGTACGTTGGGGTTTACCCCAGTGAATGAGAGGGTAGCCTCCCTCTGCCTACGTGTGGGGGGACGGGTTCTGACTGTGGTCTGTGCTTATGCACCAAACTACAGTTCAGACTACACCCTTTTTGGAGACCTTGGAGGGGGTGCTGGAAAGCGCTCCTTCCGGTGACTCCCTTTTTCTTCTGGGGGACTTTAACGCTCACGTGGGCAACGACAGTGAGACCTGGAGAGGTGTGGCTGGGAGAAACGGCCAACCTGATCTGAATTTGAGTGGTGTTTTGTTATTGGACTTCTGTGCCAGTCATGGATTGTCCATAATGAACACCATGTTCAGACATAAAGGTGTCCATATGTGCTCTTGGCACAGGATACCTTAGGCCGCAGCTCGATGATCAACTTTGTTGTTGTTTCTTCTGACCTGCGGCCGCAAGTCTTGGACAATCGGGTGAAGAGAGGGGCGGAGCTTTCAACTGACCACTACCTGGTGGTGAGTTGGCTCAGATGGTGGGGGAGGATGCCAGTCAGACCAGGCAGGCCCAAACCTATTGCAAAGGTCTGCTGGGAATGTCTGGCAGAGTCTCCTGTCAGAAGGAGCTTCAATTCCCACCTCCGACAGAACTTCCAAAATCTTCCGGGGGAGGCGGGGGACATTGAGTCTGAATGGACCCTGTTTCATGCCTCCATTGTTGTGGCGCCCAACCCGGAGCTGTGGTCGCAGGATCGTCGGTGTCTGTCGTGGTGGCAACCCCCGAACCCGCTGGTGGATGCCAGCGGTTAGGGATGCTGCCAAGCTGAAGAAAGAGTCCTTTCAGGTCTTTTTGGCCTGTGAGACTCTAGAGGCAGCTGACGGGTACTGGCAGTCCAAGCGGAACGCGGCTCAGGTGGTTGCCAAGGCAAAAACCCGGGCATGGGAGGAGTTCGGTGAGACCATGGAGCAAGACTTCCATACGGCTTTGAGAAGATTCTGGTCCACCATCCGGCACCTCAGGGGGGGAAAGCAGTGCGCTACCAACACTATCTATAGTGGGGACAGTGTGCTGCTGACCTCTACTCAGGACGTTGTGTATTTGTTTACCAGTTTGAAAATCAAAAGAAATACCTTTTAAGTTGACAACACCAAACATTTCTTAAAAACCCAGAAATTGAACTTTTTAAGGGAACCAGATGGATTATTTTTCACGGCGCTTTAGGGAAGGTAATTGGACTTGACAGTCCAGAGGAGTGGCTCCTACGAGACGCTAACATATGATGAAAGGTTCTGTTTGCACTGGATCTGAAAAGCAGAAATTTATTCAAGATGAACTGCACAATAAAACCATTTATATGCATTTTTTTCCACCAAATGACGAGCACCATTTTCAGCTGTAACTGAACAAAGATTGTCAATAAATACCTATTTAAATCTCACTACCTCAGTGAGTAGACACAGTCCTGTATTACTGTCCATAATGACCCGCTTCTGGCGACAGGCTCTGTCCTGATTTGCCTCACATGCCTGTCAAAGATCTGGAAAGGCTGGAATACTGCTGAAGAACAGTTATCTTTTTTCTTTTATCTCTAAACTCTCCCTCAAGAGGGCAGTGTTAGAATAGGAGACAGTCTGTCATCATGCCACTGGGATATATGGGAGTACCAGTCCATGTCCCGACAGATTTGTGAAACAGGAATGTTATGAAAATTGTCTAATCTTGTAAAGCATTAATGGTGGTGAGGTGCAGGGGTTTATGATGACAGCATCACCACAGTAAAAGTCCAGATGAGAGGTACAGACTCATTAAAGTATCTGCAGAGAGCTGTGATGAGGGCTATTAACACAGAATGGGAATGGTTCATTTGGGTTCTTGTATCAGTGAAGAGCTCAGGAGGAGGATGAGGTGCATGACGCAGCAGGGGAGAAGCTTGTGCTGAGATGCAGTCCAAAATAAACCAGCTCAAAAATGCCTTCGTGTTTTAGGAGATGTGTAAGTGTTAGGTAGACCCATCAGTGCCTTTAGTTCCAAAATCAACAGAGATACGTTTTCTGATCCTCTCCATTATCCTCCCTGTTCTTTTATCTTCCACCAGCAAAATGTAAAAGGCAAGCAATAATGTTTTAACTCTCTCTGTGTGTGTGTGTGTGTGTGTGTGTGTGTGTGTGTGTGTGTGTGTGTGTGTGTTAGTATACAAAATACCTTCTAACCCCCCTGAAAGATTTTAATTAAACCAAAAATTCTTTAATTTAGAAATACATTTTTTAAGTCAGCCTGATTCAGTGGAAGTCCTTGGCTAACATCCATCCATCCATTTTCAGCCGCTTATCCGGGCTCGGGTCGCAGGGGCAGCAGTCCAGGGAGGCCCGGACTTCCCTCTCCCCAGCCACTTGGACCAGCTCCTGTGGGGAATTCTAAAGTGGTCAGCTGAGAGACAAAGTTCCTCCAATGTGTCCTGGGTCTTCCCTGAGGCCTTCCCCCAGTTGGAGGTGCCCGGAAAACCTCACTAGGGAGGTGTCCAGGAGGCATCCTAACTAGATGCTCCTGTCAATGTGGAGGAGTAGTGTGTCTACTCCGAAACCCTCCCAGATGAGTTTCTCACCTTGTCTCTAAGGGAGAGCCCAGCCACCCTGCAGAAAAAACTCATTTTGGCCGCTTGTATCCGTGATCTCGTTCTTTAGGTCACTACCCAAAGCTAAACTCAGTTTTTAACATTTTTTTCAACAACACAATACTTTGACATGACACATGACAGCGCAGCACACTAAAACAGTTAATCATTTACATCAAAGCAGGATCTTCACCTGCAGATTTCTAACTGGACGTGTACATTCAGTTTCATCCTAATTTTAAATGACCAAACGCAGAAGCTACTCTAGTCTAAGATGTCTGAAACTCACACCAAGACAAGAGTGAAAAATCTTTAGAAGGCATTCTTATCGGACAGTTTGCACCTGAGGAATAACACCTACGTATGACTTGCACAGGGACTATGGTCACTCTGAGAGTAAAGAGAGTTCCAAAGGAAGAAGACAAACCACGGGTTATGGCTTTATGAAGCATATCAAGCAGCAGTTATAGCTTACGTACAAGCTGCAGTGGAATCAGGTGTTCACCTTAAAGCTGATCTTTGGAAGATACATTTGCAGGCTTTATAAAATGTTGTACAATCAAGTGTTTGGTAGCTAGGAGTCATCCCATCACACATTCAGTTTAACAGTTTAAACACAACTTCTATTTTTATCTGTAAAAAACGGTTTTTGATCTTTTGAATGAAAGGAAGTGGGTGATATTCAGAATGCTGACTCATCCTTTCTTCATCTCCTCTGACCTTTAACCCACCTAAAAAAATATCTCCTCTCATCCCTATCCTTTCTCTTTTCTATTTTTACTCACTCAGATCCAAGCCCCCCCCCCCCCCCCCCCCCCCCCCCCACCCACCCCCACCCCACCCCCCTTTGCTCCCTCTCCTGCCTTTCTCAATGAAAGCGGGCTCAACCCCTCCCACCTCTGACTGAGCGTTTAATTGCACGCTGCAGACGGCATCTTGCTTCAATAAGGCGCGCGCACTGGTAGTGGACGTAACCAACTTTTACGAGTGACCAAGTATCTCCTGTGTGAGTGAGTGTGAGTGTGTGTGTGTGTGTGCATGTGTGTATGTGTTTAAAGAATAAAGTCGCTCCTCTGGTTTGGTTTATTCGTGCCTGACCAGCATGCAGGTGTCTGTGGCCCTCCTGGTCTCCAGCTCGCTGCTGCTGCTGCTGCTGCAGGGATGCTGCACGGCCGCGAAGGGATGGAAGGTTCTGAAAAACGGTGCCACGGAGATTTTACCGGACTATCGAGAAAACACCCGGACACCTCAACAGGCGGTTCTCCAGACCCCAAACGGAAACAACACGATGAATAACAACAGGGCGAAAGGCGGAGGGAGAAATTCCAACACTGTCTCTTACAGTAAGTGTCAGTTAATTGTCCATTCAATATTTAATTATACAACAAAAGGTGGAAAATGCTGGAAAAGTGCAGGATTATGATCAATTTGTGGAGCTGTGCGTAAAGCATTAAAAGTACTGCTGTTTCAAATTGCGTAAACGCATTTATAATAATAATAATAATAATAATAATAATAAAGTTCAGTCACTACACTGATAAAAATGCATTAATTTTAATAATTACCCCTTTTCCCAACACAATGACTCAATTTATGGTCCAAATATCTCATTTCAGCTCAGAAGACTGCAGGCTCTGTTGTTTTGAAAAGCAAAGACCTGAAAGAGATAATTATGTTGAATAAATCAGGGCTGCTTTGTGAATTTGTGTTCACAGTTCCACATTTCTGCCTGATTTTCACACCACTCTGCTGATTATCAGCCGCTCTGCTGCGTGGAGAGGGATGAGGGTGATGAGAGCGGCTCAGACTCACATTCTTGTGGTTTCTTCCTCAACATTCTGAACCCAAGCGCTCAGAAAGACATCAGGGCTTTTTGTACATTGTCTTCCAGGTTGTTTCCTTTTCTCTTTATGCTATTAGTCAAGCTCTACTTGCTTCGTAACCATTTGATTGCAACAGCATGTCTCCTAAACAGAAAACCCCTTAGTCTGCTCTTCAGCATGGATGTCTATGGGAAGGTGGGGGCTAGAAATAGCTTTTATAAATGCAACGCTGCCTTTGAGAATGATTCCCACCTGGGTTGTAGGTTCTGACTGAACAGCGCATGCAGGGCAGTCTCATGCTCGTGGACTCTGCATGGGTGGTGCAATGGCTTTTGCTTATTTGAGGCCTTTTGATTTGGACTTTAGAGAAGGTGACTGATTAGATTAAAGGAACAGCTGATAAGGGAATTAATGGGCTTAATGTCAGTTATTCTGAAGGATTCTTATCCAAGGATGTGTAATGAGATGCAGATGTGTAAATCTAAAGAATAGTATTCAGATTATTTGTTAGTATCCAAAAGAGGGTTGCTTGTTTTTATAGTAAATACACAGAAAACGTCCCGGAGGGACAGATAATCCCTCCTGGGTCCGTTTTATCACTTGGGCTGAGTCCTGGGATGACCTCTCATGGTTCTGTTTGGGGTTACAGCTGAGACTTTGACCAATTCCTGGCTTTCCTCCAAATCTCCCCAAAGGCTTTTCTCTAAGTCCAGATGGAAATGAACAAGTCATGCAATTGTCCAGCAGGATATCATTCCTCTTAGATAGGAGAACGGGAACTGTCAGTGACTCGATGCAACCTGCTGGGTTCCTTATTTAGGAAACTTTTTACTGATTAGCTTAATGAACTGACCTGTATTGGAATGTTTACTGTGTGAAGAGCCTTGAGACGACTAGTTGTGATTTGGCGCTATAAACTTGAATATACTTGAATTAAATTGAACTGTAGTAGAAAAAAATGAAACACACATCCAACAAAAAAAGCTAACAGTTTTGGATATTTGGTGCAAACCGCTGCAAACTGGGTGCTGTAGGTGGTATAAACAATGTGGACTCTTCAGCAGCAGCACCAGAATAACACCGGGTCAGGTTCTCCCAGTGAGAAAAAAAGGAGAGAAATCATCCACATAAATCCTTTGTTCAGTTCTTTTATTTAACCTAGAAAGCCACAGAGGGAAACAGATCCCTCTCCGAGTGTATCGCTTCTACACCAACGGCTCTTCTCGTCTTGTAAAAAACACGTGAGAGTAACTCATGCATGTGGCTCTTAAAAAGCTCCATCTTATTACAAACAGGGTTCTTCAAACTTGTCCAGTTGCAGCGCTGCCTTAAAACAACCAGACAGCTATTTACTCCTCCACCACCACATGCGTTTCCTGAGGGTCGGGACTGAGTGCCAGCTTTTCCTCCATCCCAGACCCACATTGGGTTGGATTGAGCTGTTTAATGGCCTTCTGGTCTGGATTTTCTATCAGCTTATTGTTGCCAGCTGTTTTGTGTGTGTGTGTGTGTGTGTGTGTGTGTGTGTGTGTGTGTGTGTGTTGTCAGCCAACGATCGGACCATGAGTCAGGTCTGCTCTGATATTATTACCTTAAACCTCCACTTAATTGAACAATTTGCTGTGTTTAGATGAATTTATTGATGGATTTTTATGTTTTATACTGGTTGGACATAAATTCAGCTTCCAGCTTGGATTTTTTCCCTTATTTCCACACTAATATGATGATGTGAGAGAAATCACTGGAAAGAAGGAGCAGCTGCTGCAGCGAAGTGGTTAAAACTGTAGAATCCTCCACAGTGTTTGTTTTGGGTTTGGTCCACGTGTGCTGACTGTGATATCCCGTTCTTCCACCCAGGTGCCTCGGAGATGAGCTGCAGGGAGCTGCGTTCCACCCGTTACATCACTGATGGATCCTGCCGCAGTGCCAAACCTGTCAGAGAGCTGGTCTGCTCTGGTCAGTGCCTCCCCAGCCACCTCATGCCCAACACCATCGTCCGTGGGAAGTGGTGGCGGAGCAGCGCTTCTGACTACCGCTGCATCCCGGCGCACTCACGGACGCGGAGGGTCCAGCTGCAGTGTTCGAATGGCAATGCTCGGACTTATAAAATCCGGGTGGTCACATCCTGCAAGTGCAAGCGATTCAGGCCTCACCACAACCTGTCGGATGTCAAAGACGTGCCAAAGAGGCAACCCATCAGGAAGCACGGGCGCTTGTCGCATGAACGCAGCAAGAACACCACACCGCTGACAGGGAACTCGTACTGATATGTTCCTAAAGCGTCCAAGGACAGAGACCAAAGCACATTCATACACATGCTACTCATTAACATATCTCCTTCACACAGTGAAGGGATGCAAGAGAAAATCTGAGATTTCATAAGCTAAATGCCAGACTGAGTCATCAGTCGTGTTTTTTATTTTTGCATATTTGTGAACTTTGCTTTTTGCATGACGCAATGAGCCAGCTTGGACTGGCCTCGCTAGTGACTGAACAGGAAGATTATGTCTAACAAATATCTCAAGACAAATCAAATATAAACACGTCTTTTTTCCCCCAAAAAACACCCGTCTCCACAAACATCCAGCAGAACTAAAGCTTTAAGCTTAAGGTGTTCTGTATTTTTGCTCCTGAGTGGTCCTGATCTGTCTCCTTTAGGCTGCTTGTGGGGGACGGTGACGGCTCTGAGGACTCCAACTGGTGAAACAAGTTTGTTCCTATTAACGATGGACAGCAGATCCGTCCCTTGCAGTAGCGCTTCCAGACACAAAGGAGTCCGATAAGCCAGAAGTGAGGGAAGAGGCATTCCCGTGAGTCCCAATAATGAGCCCATTTCTGTGTTAGGATTTGAGTCATACAAAACAATTTCCTCCAGATATAGCCATTTCCTGTTCTCTGGACTCACAAAGAAAGAAAGTGCAACACAGGGTGTGAGAGGTATCGGGACGTGTGCATTTTTTCTTGGCTAAGGGCAGAGCGCCGCACTCTATCAACTGTTTTGCAATGGGCCGAACAGAGCGGCGTCTCTGGTGTGTTTCATTATTCTGTAAATAACCCAGACAGGAAAGAAAGGAATAAAAATAACAGTCGGAACACAATTATTCAGTTTTATCAGCATAATTATTGGTGAAATCCGGTGAGGAAGAGGAAGCAGAGATACGCAGGCTGTCACGGCAGAAGACACAAACTCCGCCTCCTGCAGTAAAATCCTTTAAAATGGACAGATGGTTGTTCTTCTGGTCATGATGCTTCTTGATTTCAAATGTTGTACATCCTCCATGTCTGCTTTTGTTCCAATAGTGTTTGGAAAAACAACTGGAAGGGGTTCGACAGGGGTTAGGGATAGAGGAAAAGCTGTTTTCTACAAACACAAAGAAGGACTTTTGTCAAGAATGAACTGCATATTTATTTTTTATTTCCACATTTAAATTATTTATGCAACCTTTTGTAGTAAGTGATCTAGTATTGTCATCTAGTGTGATAGAGAATTAAAAGTGTACAGAACATGAATAAAAGACCTGAAATATTTGAACAAATCAGCTTGTTTCATGTTTCTCTTTGTTTGGTTGCCTGCTGGTATTTCACCTCGCCTTTAAAGACAAAATCACAACGGTAAACAAATGCATTTGTATACGGAGCACCTTTGGGATGTGGAACGGGAAATTCACATCATGGATGTGCAACCGACAAATCTGCAGCAACAGCGTCAATACATACATACACACACACACACACACACACATATATATATATATATATATATATATATATATATATATATATATATAAATGATAGTACAAAAAGTTACACAAATAAAAGGTTTCTCTATGAATGGCCTCAGTTGGGAGAAACAGATTAGTTGCGACCGGAGCTAACATTTAAAGCTAGTGGGCCAGTTAAAGATGTCCTCAGTACTATTGAAAACTACATGCCAGTTTTTAGAAAATCCGGTGTTGAAAAAACATAATCCATTTTCAAATATGTATTTAGGGCAAATGAATTGATTAATTGAAGTTAATAACTGACATCATCTGGTCAGATTATGAGCAAATGACAGTTGTAGTACGCAATTAAACCTACTGGATGTGCAGCACCAGGCTAAAGACCAAAGGTGACAGATCATTTGCTGCTGTGGCCCCCAGACTCTGGAACTCTCCCCCTGAGCCTGAGATCAGTGGACTCAGTGGTCTCCTTTAAAAAGCAGCTGAAGACTCACCTGTTCAAGCTGGCTTTCGCAAGACCTTCATTACCACCCTCTCCTTATTCTGTTCTTATTCCGCCTTTCCCGGGATCCACAGATTTCCTTCTTTCCTATTCATTTTCTCTCTCCCTTTCCTTAAATTTTTTTGCTCCTTTTGAACAGTTTTTAATCATTTTTGAAATCTTTTTATGCTTTAATTTTTTTTTTGTGAAACGCCTTGTGATTTTCATCTTGTGAGGCGCTATGTCATCTTCTTCCTCATAAATGAGGAAGTACAGCTTACAATAAAAATGTTCTGATTTTTGGAAATAATTTATCTTCGTCTTCGTCTTCGTCTTCCTCCGCTTATCCGGGTCCGGGTCGCGGGGGCAGCATCCCAATTAGGGAGCTCCAGGCCGTCCTCTCCCCGGCCTTGTCCACCAGCTCCTCCGGCAGGACCCCAAGGCGTTCCCGGACCAGATTGGAGATGTAACCTCTCCAACGTGTCCTGGGTCGACCCGGGGGCCTTCTGCCGGCAGGACATGCCCGAAACACCTCCCTGGGGAGGCGTCCAGGAGGCATCCTGACCAGATGCCCAAACCACCTCAACTGGCTCCTTTCGATCCTGAGGAGCAGCGGTTCTACTCCGAGTCCCTCCCGAATGTCCGAGCTCCTCACCCTATCTCTAAGGCTGAGCCCGGCCACCCTACGGAGGAAACTCATTTCGGCCGCTTGTATCCGCGATCTCGTTCTTTCGGTCATTACCCAAAGCTCATGACCATAGGTGAGGATTGGGACGTAGATCGACCGGTAAATCGAGAGCCTGGCTTTCTGGCTCAGCTCCCTCTTCCCCACGACAGATCGGCTCAGCGTCCGCATCACTGCAGACGCCGAACCAATCCGCCTGTCGATCTCCCGATCCCTCCTACCCTCACTCGTGAACAAGACCCCGAGATACTTAAACTCCTCCACTTGAGGTAGGACCTCTCCCCCGACCCGGAGGAGGCAAGCCACCCTTTTCCGGTCGAGAACCATGGTCTCAGATTTGGAGGTGCTGATCCTCATCCCAGCCGCTTCACATTCGGCCGCGAACCTACCCAGCAAGAGCTGAAGGTCAGAGCTGGATGAAGCTAGGAGGACCACATCATCCGCAAAAAGCAGAGACGAGATTCTCCTGCCACCAAACTCGACACACTCCACACCACGGCTGCGTCTAGAAATTCTGTCCATAAAAGTGATGAACAGAACCGGTGACAAAGGGCAGCCCTGGCGGAGTCCAACCCTCACTGGGAACAGGTCCGACTTACTACCGGCTATGCGGACCAAACTCACGCTCCTCTGGTAAAGGGACTGAATGGCCCTTAACAGAAAGCCACCCACCCCATACTCCTGGAGCATCCCCCACAGGGTGCCCCTGGGGACACGGTCATAAGCCTTCTCCAAATCCACAAAGCACATGTGGATTGGTTGGGCAAACTCCCATGCCCCCTCCATCACCCTTGCAAGGGTATAGAGCTGGTCCACAGTTCCACGGCCAGGACGAAAACCACATTGCTCCTCCTCTATCTGAGATTCAACTATCGATCGGACCCTCCTCTCCAGTACCTTGGCGTAGACCTTTCCAGGGAGGCTGAGGAGTGTGATCCCCCTATAGTTGGAACACACCCTCAGGTCACCCTTCTTAAAGATGGGGACCACCACCCCGGTCTGCCACTCCCTAGGAACTGCCCCCGATGACCACGCAATGTTGTAGAGACGTGTCAACCATGACAGCCCTACAACATCCATAGCCTTGAGATACCCAGGACGAACCTCATCCGCCCCCGGGGCTTCGCCGCTGTGTAGTTGTTTGACTACCTCAGCAACTTCTGCCCCCGAGATCGGACAGTCCATCCCCAGGCCTCCCAGCTCTGGTTCCTCCTCGGAATGCGCATTGGTGGGATTGAGGAGCTCCTCAAAGTATTCCTTCCACCGTCCGACTATAGCCTCAGTTGACGTCAGCAGCTCCCCATCCCCACTGTAAACAGTGTGAGCGAGTTGCTGCCTTCCTCTCCTGAGGCGCCGGACAGTTTGCCAGAACCTCTTTGGAGCCGATCGATAGTCTTTCTCCATGGCCTCACCAAACTCCTCCCACGCCCGAGATTTTGCCTCGGCAACTGCCACTGCTGCACCTCCTTGAACCGTCACCTTATCGTGGTGGAGGAGTTTGAGTGCCCTAATGATCCTAGGAGCTATGTTGTCTGGGGCACTTAGTGCCCCTGGTAGGGTCTCCCATGACAAATTGGTCTTAGGTGAAGGGTGAGACAAAGAACGGTTCGAAGGATCTTTCATGGCGGTTAAAACGAAGAGTCGGAGTACCCGGCCCAGAGGGTTACCGGGGTCCCACACTGGAGCCAGGCCTGGGGTTGGGGCCCGTGAGCGAGCGCCTGGTGGCCGGGCTTTCGCCCATGGGGCCCGGCCGGGCCCAGCCCGAACCGGATACATGGGCTCGTCCAACTGTGGACCCACCACCCGCAGGAGGAACATGAAGGGTCCGGTGCAATGCGAATCGGGTGGCAGACCAAGGCGGGAGCCTTGGCGGTCCAATCCCCGGACAAGAAATAATTTATTATAACAAATTCTAATCTTATAAGAAGTAACAGAGCAAGTTACTAAACATTTGCACGGGAACTTAGATAAAAGTTTGTGTAGTTATTCCAAATACCTAAGAGCTTGCCCTGAATGGTCGCAGCTGTTTGCAGAAAACAAGAAATAATCATTGTTGACACTTGTCACAAATAGAATGTTTATTTGTTTATGGTGGATACAACCATCCTTCAACATCATTCCGCCTTTCCTGCCTCAAGGCTCAAAGCTCAATGTGCCATGAGCCCGAGTGCTCTGACTCTATTCACACATCTAGGAAAAACTCACTAACTGCACGACCGAGGCTTCCTGACACCTTCAGCATTCCAGGATTAGAAAGTGTTGGCTAAATCAAAGAGAAACACACACACACACACACACACACACACACACACACACACACACACACACACACACACACACACACACACACACACAGAAAAGCTAAACAGAAAATCACTGTGGTAACTGTGAGTGAGTTTGTCCTTCGTTGTGCCGATAGAGAATGTAGAACATCACATTTCACCACATCATCCATTACATGCAGTCACTATGTCATTTTCAGCCATGTTTCCCTAAAGAGAACGAGCTGCGTAACATACCAAAAGGGTCAATTTTTCACCATCTACAGTGACCAACATAGTGACCTTTAATCTACAGCATAAATCCACTTTCTATGTGGCCTTTTAAACCAGAAGGTTCTGCTCAGCGCGCGTTGACATTCCATGAAGACAAAACATTCAAGTAGACACTCTGTCCCAAGGTCCTACACTCTCTGCTGAGAAGCCAGACAAGAGTCTTCACTCTGAATAAGTGAAGACTCCATGATTTTACTATTATAAGTTAAATAATCATATGTGATGAATGAACAAGATATTTAAATCAAATGTTTGAATAATCTGTGCTTAAATCAATGAATTTGAAATGAAAATTGTTATTCCAATGATCCATTTATATCACTATGTGTTCGATTTAACAAGTTAATCATTGTTTACACTCACACACATTACAATCAGATACATATTAAGGTTAAAAACATCTTGTATCTGCAAGAAGGTGTGGCTTTCTGAGGGATGTTTTGGGAAAGCCTTCCAGACATGGCACATTCTGATTTGCCAGAATACGCCAGAAATGATAAATAATGAGTTTATTAAAGAAGCCTTTTTGAAACCAACTCCTTTGACCTCCTGTCAAAGCCTCTGCAACGCTGCGGCTGATACCAGACAGCCGACTCTCCAAGAGCCAAGCAAACATCCACCTTAGATGTCTTTTGGGTCGTGAATTTAGTTCTCTCCAGAAAACCCCCTCGGACTCTCTCTGTGAGGAGTTTGCAGCCCACTTCAGAGGGAAGGTAGACACCATCAGACGTAACATTTTTTCCACCCAATGTCATGCTGCTCCCGATCAATCTGAGAGTGTGTGTCTACCTGAGGAAACACTGGACAGTTTTGTCTTGGTTGAAGCTGAGATTATTGATAAAGTTTTCTCCTCAGTGAGGCCCACCACGTGTGTTCTGGACCCTATCCCCACAAGGTTTTTTAAACAATTTTATGACTCTTTTAGAGATGAGATTTTAACTTTGATGAACTGTTCCCTTCAGACGGGGGTCTTTCCTGCTGCTTTTAAACGGGCGGTGGTCAGACCCCTGTTGAAGAAGAGCAATTTAGATTTTAATGACTTTAACAATTTCCGACCGGTATCCAACTTACCATTTTTAAGCAAAATTTTAGAGA